CCAGGGGACGGCCAAGATTATCCTGGTGCAAACATATGGAAGGAATCTGTTCCAGACTGCATTTGTCTTTCGCCGAAGCTGAGACTCTGGCACAGGATCGGGAACGTTGGAAGCACTGTCTGACGCGCCTGCCTCCGCGATTCGAAAGGAGATGCGGCGATAGAAGATGAAGATGAATTTCGAGATACGACTTGACAGTAAAGCACGTCTTGTGCTGTTTCTATACCTCCAGGTGTCCTCTGGAACAGGCCACGGTTCCATGAGAGTTCAGCACCTTCGATGCGCTGACGCCATTGTCACTGTTGTTCTAACAAATTGCTGAGTCAAGCATAGTTAGCCCAACAGAGAGCTGTAAAATTGCAATCAGGCACTTCAAGTGATCGATTACCCGTGAGTTCTGGCCTGCTCAAATGACCCCACCTCCTATGCGTTCTAGGGCAATCAGACGGCTAAGATTTGAGGTCATAAATGTATTAAGGGTGAGAATGTTGTTTTCAATTACGGCATCGAAACTCTTCGGAGGTTCTCTGAATATCGGGTTCATTTGCATGTAGACCAAGACTTAAGATAAAGCTTTGTATCTCATACGACCAATGCGTCTCTCATATGCACTGATGCATTTGCCTCAGAAAGAACTGCACATGGTTGGGTTCGTTTGAAAAATGGCAATTGCATTTTAGTACGGTCCATTACACAAACATCTCAATCTGCATCTGTAAACCTGTTTTCTCAACTGTTCTTCAAACTGCCCATGGCGAATATCATAAGTAAGACTACTTCCTGATGCGTTGCTTCTAGCTATTCAATAGCTAAATATTTTTAGCATTTCGCTAAAGTACAACCGTCATTATTTCCTTACTATGTAGCCACGTCTGTAAAAGCTGGAAGAGGGTGGTAGTATCCACTTCGTGATTTCCGGAAGTAAATGTAAGTATTTCATTTTTAACCATCGTTTCCCATTCTTCGTCGGTCTTCACGTTCTGAAAAGAGAATTATCTCAATTTAATGTAAAACTTCGAAATGAAATTAAACAGCAATAAGGCAGGTAACAAACTAATACTTGCTGAAAGATATGTGCAATTTGGTACTATTTATTTTATGAATATGATAATGTGATTATTAGAAATCGTATAAAACATGGTTTACTTATATATGATACAAAAGATATTACGGTCCGTGGTAAAGCCTTCTGGCTACTAAACAATGGACTGCTGCGGACGACCAATCACTTTCACAAAATTTCACCAGCAACCTACCTTGAAGAAGGCCTGTAACACACTGGTCGAAACGTCAGTATTATTCAGTCACCGGACTGACTGCAGTATCATTCGCTTGTGTATAAGCAAACCGTGATTGACGCTACTTTTTCAGTGTGATCGCCAACGTACGAACGAATTACTCTATTATTAAAAGTCAATGCTTTCACTGACACGAACAAGCATGCAAATTTGTTTACCATCTTTCACGTTAGATATATTATTTATAATGTCAATAACACAAGAGGCACTGTAGGTTTACTGATAAAGCTAAACCAACGCTTTCTGGATCTACACAGCACGTTTATACAGTCCTGTTGGTTGTAGATGCGTATATCATTGATTTCAGACCAATCAAGTTTTTGTTCAGCGGTTGTCATCTGTTGGCGCCGTTGTACTTTATTTTCTGTCGTTGGTACGCGACTCGCTGTCATTCATATTTTTGTTTCAAAGCACTGAATGTCATCCCTCCCATATCCAATCCCCACTCCCTCCCTCCTCACCCCCCCCCACAACAGATCTCCGGAACAACTGTGAGACAGGACTTGTTATGGATCATAGAGCGAGCAAGAAGGCTCAGTACAACTCGAACTGGCGGTGCTACATCGGTTTGCGTTATATCATAATATAACCTCCTTTCCGGTGGATTTGATTTCCTCAACAGCGCGTTTCTTCGAATCCACGGCAATGGCACAATATTTATCATACAAATGCTTGTGGATAACAACGTTTTCCTTGCTCTTCCAAGTTGTTCTTCAGCTGAACAACTAGC